TCTTCCCATAGCCATGACAGTTTGTTGGCTTAAACAAGTTTAAAATGTGCAATCGCATGAGCTCAGAGTATTACCAGGATTAGCAAACAGGGGTTATTTGTTTTGTTGCTAAAAGAAAAACATCAGGAATGTAGAAGTGGTTGTAAAGCACGGAATGTGGGTGGGAGTGGAGAAGAGAAATCTTCACGGCGTCCTTCACAAGGGAAACAGCATCAGTGGCCATTTAAAGCCCCCCTCCCCTTTAAAGCCACTAAGTCGAAGATCTGAATGGCTCTAACTCCAGGGCTGGTCATGTGTTGGTGTAGCATAGTGGCTAAGGTCCTGAGCTAGGGAATCAAGAATTGCCAGTTCAAATCCCACCTCTGTCCTGAACTCACTAGATGATCTTAGGCAAGGCAAGGCATTGATGCAGCAGAGCAAGCCAGCAATCATGGTTTATGAACCCATGATGTCCACAAGCCGTGAAATGGTGCACACGTCCCTCTCTCTGGCGCTTTACTCCTCTCTTCATGTGCATGGGTAAAACAAACCAGGAAGCTGCAGTTAAGGACTGTTTCCCATTTTACCTGAACTCAGGACTGGTTCATTGCTCCCAGACAATCCAGGATTGAACCATAGTTTAAAGATGGCTTATGAATACTTGCTTGTTGACCCATACACACAAAGGAAAACATTAACAGGGGCAGTGCAGTATGAAACTGTTGATGCACATCATGATTTAATAAGCCAGGATTTGTGACTTTCTATGATGTGCAAATGGCTATCCAGCATCTGCAATGATGGGATAATCATACTGACTGACCTTACCAGGTAATTGTTAGAATTAAAATTAGAAAATGTGCACGAAGCCCTGGGAACACTGGAGATACCATACAGATATTAAGCATGATTATTCACCTACATTTTGTTTGTTTGCTAGATGTTGATTGCTAACGTACATGTTAAGGGCAGGGAGGTATACACAATAGGTAGGAACAGTGCTTTTTTTTGTAAGAAAAAAGGTGTCGGAACTCATGAAATTATTCACCTTTCGCACGTAGTCAATCACTGTACACACACCCACACACATCAGTTGTGTAACGAAACATAACGGTCACTGCCTGTAGTAAGCACTCAGCGCACAACCACACGACCAATCACAAGCCGAGCAGCACCACAAGCCGAGCAGTGCCATCACAAGCAGCATGGACGAAGCACGCACGCATCGGACTCGACACACAAGCAGCCCGCGTGCACCGTTTTAATAATTCTGCCGCCGACCTGCTACGCTCAACAGGGCGATTCAAATCCACGTGGACCAAACATCAAATTTTCAAATGTTACTTTTAAAACTTGGAAAATCTGTTGAAAAAAGGTGCCAGAACTCTGTTCTGGTGACAAAAAAAAAAAAGCACTGGGTAGGAATCATTAATAGGAATGAACTCATTTTTTAAAGAACAGTTAACGCAAGCAGCCAAAGTCACATCTTTCTCGCTTATTTGTGCTGCAGGACTCTTTGAAAACAATTTTTGCAGACGTGAGGCATTCTGAAATCCATGAAGCTGATAAGAATGTCCCTCCCCCTTCACTGATTGCAGGCTCCAAGGTGCTGTGGGAGACGATTCTCTTTTCTGGGTCAGAGAGGGGCAGGCAGCTCTCCTCAAGGACAAAGTCAGGGGAGTGGCAATTGCATCATTTGGCAACAGGGCCAGTCCAATCGCTCACAGGTTGGTGGTGTGGCTGGAGGTGGGAATGAGTCCCTGGAGGCAAAGGTGCTGCTCTCTCCCCACAGCTCTACTGATAGGAGGCTGGCAGCCGAATCTTACGGCCAACACTGGCAATGGGGCAGGCGAGATGACACACAGCTCGGTCCTAAGGTGACCATAATCATCTTTTGCAGAGAACTGTCCTGCACTTGGAAGGCTGTTCTGTTAAACTGCAGTTTAGAGGAAAAGGAGGACCATCAGAACTGTTGTCTATCGAGAATTAGCACCTGAGCAGCTGACAGGCAGATAGGCACACTGGTCCACAGTATTCCTATATTTGTATCTATGCTGGCACATTTGCAGATGGAGATTTTTATGCAAATCAGCGCCCTCTTTTGTTCTCGTTCTCTCTCTCTCTCTCTCTCTCTCTCTCTCTCTCTCTCTCTCTCTCTCTGATGTGTTTTGCTGGGAGGTTCTAAAGGGGCAACTACTACCAAGCTGTCTGGAGCGGATGGCTGTTGCGCCCCAAGGCTGCCACAGCCTTGAATTTAGGAGAACTGAGCAGGGCTGTCCAGGATAGGACATCCTGGTGGGTGCTCATCGAAGGGGTCCCCAAACCTTGAGATGACTTGACAACATAGCAGCAATACCTGTTTGATCAAATGTTTCTTCATTACCTGCTCAGTGAAAGAACAAGAACACCATCCATTTCCATCTTTGTGGTGCTCATCCTGATACAAGAATCGGGAACCTCTCTCAGGCTTAGAAACAGCTGGTTGGGGCATCTGTGGCCATGGGGATGTTGCAGCGAGTGGGGGGACATGGCAAGCAGCCCATGCTTGTCCCTTCACCCCCTCCCCAAACAGGACAGGCCCCAGATGGCTGCCCTTCCCTTTCTGTGAGCAGTAGCAGGTTGGACCATCCTCCTTCTGAATCTTCCTTCAAGCCTGGTAATAGGGCAGCATCCTCTCCTAAAACTGGTGTGTGTGGTGGGGTGGGGGAGATGATGGTAGGAGGGGGTCGAACCTCCCTCTCGCCTGGGACTCAGCGGGGTCCAGGTCTTCCTTGACATGGGTTGCTCATATATAAGCCGTCATGTGTCTCGAATCCAGACCATCGCATGGTTGTGAGAATTCAGCACTGTTCTTCAGGATGCACCTTCAAGGCGGCAGGGCACGATGTTATGACTCTTAGACAGAAACAGGCCCTGCAGCTCCCGGCTTCCCTCAGTCTGGTTCTGGAAGGGGCCATTTGGAACCCAGGGGAGGGCTTGACATGTTAACCCCAGGAAGGACCCCTGGGGAGCCATGGGGCTTTTTTCCTGTCTAAGCAAGCACAGGGTTGCCCCTCAGCCTGCTTTTCCACATGCAGATCCCTACTGCCTGCTCTGAGTCACGACTACCTGTCCCCACTCTATTGTTAAAAGCAATAGTGAGTGGTTCGAATCAGTGAGCTGACCCCGCTCTGCTCTAGGATCCTCCTGATTAAAATCCACATGGGGCCTGAAACACAAAGGAGTTGCCACTCCCTGCCTCTTAATGATGCCTCCGATATCAAATCTTGTTCACAGGATGCAATCTTCTTTTCTTTAAGAAAAGAAAATAACGCCATGTATTCAAATGGTTTTAGATAGCATTGGCTCAAGTCAACAAGAGAGTCCTTTTCACAAGGAAGAACACACCAGAGAGGTGATATGTTGATGTTTTCTTGCTCAGCAAACCATCTGGTATAGATATATGATGTCTCCTTTCCCTTCTGCCCAGTGAAGAATTTGCACTTACACACGCCTACACCAACAGAACTTAGTTGATGCACAGAGCAGACCATTTTTTTTACATGTTTCACACGGGTCTTTAGTTGGGACTGGAACAGAAAAAACTCTACACAGCTTATTTTGCTTGTGGTTTTCTGCCTCTTCTTCAGCTCCATATCATTTGGACAAATGGGGGAAAATATGTACATTTTTACCTTGGAAAAAGCAGTACTTTCTAGGTTCATGTCATCCTATGAGGAAAACTGTGCTAAGTCCAGCTATGAATTGATTCTGGATCTTGAAACTGCAGTGGACTTTCTAGATGGACAAAGATCACCAGGTGTAAAACAAACCAGCTCGTTCCCATCCTGCCACAGATAGAACAGCATCTGGTAGCTAAAAGATGGCCTACAATAACATATGTAAGCTGCTGACTTGTCCTGAAGCTACTGCTACAAGGGTCACTTTTAAAAACCATGGCTGCCAGGTCCGGATACCAAAAGCAAGAAAGAGCATGTGAACTTTCCTAAGTCAGAACTAGAGAAATAGGGCTTGCAACAAAATGTTGCAGTGTGCCAGCCAGCCAGCCAGCCAGCCACGAACCATTTCAGAAGACTCCATTCCAATCCATTCTTCCTGCCCTGCCCCACTGGATTCCTGTGTTGTTCTCTCCAAAACAGCCACTGCATTCTTGATCCTCACTGAGGACTAGGTCCACTGCTCCCTTTACAGACTGAGCCTGGGACTCTGTGCATGCAAAGCGTGTGATCTGCTGCTGAGCTATGACTCTTTCCCTAACTCTGTGTTTCACGTGGGAAATGTGCATCATTTGTATGGCATTGTGGAGGGTCTGTGGCAGAGAGACAGGCAGGAAAATGGTGATACCAGCTCTGGATGTTGGGAAAGATGCTCTGGGAGCCCCTCGGTTGAGTGCCGCTGCCTTCTTGGCACTGTCACTGTTTGCCTTCTCTGCATGGGCCGAGCCTGGCTTAATGCCCGGGAGGAAGGGCCAGAGAAGAGAGGGCTGGAGCCTCTTCTTGTTCCTGCGGTTCACTTTGTCAAAAAGCCAACAGACGGAAGGGAGAAGGTGCCACCCGGTGGATTATGGAAGCAAAATGTGGCCTGCAGCCACCTGCCCGAGAAGCAAGAGACAGCAAGGAGAGGACAGCTTGCTGTAAGTCATAACACAGGAAGCTAGGACGCTGCTTTAAGTGGAGCCATTCTGTCGGTCCATTTTGCTCAGGACTCCTAGTGGGCTTTCAGAGGAGAGGGCAGGGAGTGAAACTGGGAATGTTTGCATACAAAGCAGGTGCTCTGCCTTTCCCTAAAAAATAAAGTGAGGTTCCAGTCCTCATGGTCCTGAATAAAGGACTAATTTAAATAGGAATACAGGAAGCTGTCTGATACTTAGACCATGGGTCCACCAGACCTTCCCCAACCCAAAGGTCTGAAACCTAGCACAGCCAGTGCCAGTCAGTTTGCTAACTTGGTGTGCTCCAGATGTGTTGGACTACAACTCCCAGGATTCCTGACCATTGACCATGCTGCCTGGGGCTGATGGGAGTTGAAGTCCGAAGCATCTGGAGCACACCAAGTTAGCAAACTGACTGGCACTGGCTGTGCTAGGTTTCAGACAGCAATCATCCCCAGCAATGCCTAGAGTTGCCTGGCCACCTTTTGCACACAAAGACTGAAATACAGTCACCCTGGTTGCAAAAATGTGTGGTTTTGCTACTTGCCCAGAGGCTGCTGTTCCACTGCTGAAGTTGAGGAGGACTGGCCTTTTGAACTGCCTGGATGGAAACCAGCTGGAAGCTCTACGTAAACCAAGCTTTCTGAGGCAGGTTGCAGCTTATGTAATAAGCAAATTAACCCTGGTTCTGACTCAGCTATTTGTTGGAATTGCCTTGCAGCCTTTTGAAAACAGGATGACTTAATAGCCTTGCATGGTAATCTCCTTCAGTCAGCACTCAGTAATAGGTAGAGAAGCTTGGCAACCTCAGAGATGATGTCTTGACGCAAGACAGAATTTACCACAAGGTAGAATTAAGGTACCACAAAACACTTTGCTTATTTAGCCATTCTTGTGGCTTTGCCTAAGACAGTGGCCGCCTTTCCTGTACATCACTGTGGATAGACTTTAATCTAGTGGGATCTACTATATCCCTTGATAACCACCACCCAGATCGTAGTGCAAAGGACATACACTTAGAATTAAAGAATTCTGAGTGAAGGATTTTGTCTTAATTGCCTGAAATGAACTAAGCACCATCTTTCCATACAAAGATTTACTTCTGGTTACCCTGTCTCTCCCTTCCTTTTCATCATTTCAGTATAATTTGGAGGTTGGGAGAATCATTTTATTTTTAAAAACTTGGGAGTCATCAAACCCTTGCTGAAATCACCTAGAGATTTACAAGAGAAGTCTAATGTACCTTTTGGTTCACACCTGCTGCACAGCACAGCTTTGTTCAGCCCTCCCCACACCTCAGTTCCTAATTTTATTTTACATGCACTGCAGCCTGTGTACTCCCAAAGAATACATTTTACCCATTGCCTTTACAAACAGAACATACAAACATCTCTCTGCCCACCAAGATCAATGGCGTTGCTTGCAGAACCAGACATCGTCAGAGCCTTTATGGTTATATTTGTATGGACAGGATGCAGCACCATAAATTTATTGTGTATTTATTTGATTCCTAACCCGTCCCAGTAAGCCATACAGCTCTCTGAGCAGGCTACAACAACAATTTATACAAGCGTTTATATACCTCTTACTTAGCCGGAGGCTCTCCTAACCGTTACAGCAAAACACAACATGGATGTGGCTTGGAGCTCATTATTACTCTAAGAGTGCAATCCTAAAACGTTTAAACAGCAAAAAGGCTTGACAGCTTCCAGGATGCCCCAGCCGGCACAGCCTTTTTCTGTCTAAATTCATAGAATTATGCCTCAAGACCAGGTCATCTTAAGACAATCAGAGCAAAGCGTTTTGCTGATCAAGTCAAAATACAAATTTGCTCGCTCAGCCCCAGAAATGTTGTATTACAACTCCCACCATGGGTGGCTGGGGCATCCTGGGAGTTGTAGTCCAATCCATCTGCGGAGGGCACCAAGTTCAGGAAAGCCGACGCAGAAAACTCGTGCATTCTACGAGCATCTTGTCCGACCTTTTTGGTGGCGCGAAGATATAACGTCACGCAAAAACGTGACCCTCTAACAGCGGGGTTCCTTTACTGGAGAGCGTCATGGAAGCGTGAAACAAATAGGAATTTTCCGTACGGTGACGTCATAAAAAAGATGGCGGCGCCCAGTAGTTACATGCGCGGAATGCGCATGCGTTCTCTTCAAGCCAGGGAGAAGAAGCCGCTCGGCCCCAGTGAGTGGGTGTGGGTTGCAGGTAATGTGCATTTTCAGCTTCCTGGAGATGGTTTTCCCCGCTTTATATCTAGTGTATCTTTGCAGGCCGCACCCACATCCCCCCCACCCCGAAGTGGCCCGTGCAGCCGGAACGGAGAGGAGGATCGTGGCTAGCTGAAACGAATTAAGCGGCGGGCTTTGAGGCCTGTTCGGAGGCTTAGACGCACTCTTGTTGGTGTGTATAATATTCCTCGGCCTCGCCGATCCTCCGAGAAAAGCTGTATATTATAGGAGATGTAAACGCTGTCTTTTCTGCCCTCTTAACGTCTTCCATGAAAAGTGTGTTTTTGACAATTTTTTGTGGCTTCTGGTGTTGTAAAACAAGGAGTGCTTGGACCCATCCGTTTGAGCATTTTTACTTTGCACAGCATGATATGCACCTTAAATTTGGGCTTGCACTTAAAATCCTGTACGCATTTGCTTGGCAGTCAGTTTTACTCAGAAATTACAGGAGCTTTCTTGGGAACTGTGCATAAACATACATAAACTGCACCAGCTGGCTGCAATTCTAAGCATGCTTCCTGAGTGGAAGAGAATTCCACTGAAATAGCAGGAAAATACACTTGGTTAGGCGTGGCCCCCTTGTATATCATATGTGGATATCTTGGTTAGGCTGAGGTCTTGGTGATTATAGCAGCCTGTGGAAAAATAGCTAAAGATTCACAAGAATATAGCTCAGTAGGCCTGAGAGAAACTCAGTATCATTTTGGGCAGTTGGATTTCCACATTGCCTCCCCCCAGTCCCTGAGTTCCCTTGGCATATTCATATTTTATGAATGGGTTTCCTTTTGGGTGACTGCTAATTTTAAGTGGCACTTTTAGCTGGCTGAAAAAGATGCTTATCACTCTCTTGCTCAGAACGTCACTTGAGATACATAATTGGACTGCATGTGATATCTGTGTAGCAAATTCCACAATCCATATTGGTGTGGTGCAGTGGTTAAGAGCGTGGGACTGGGACTCAGGCAATCTGGGTTCTAGTCCCCGCTCAGCCATGGAGCCAACTGGCTGACTTTGGACCAGTCACAGACTCTCAGCCTGATGTACCTCACAGGGTTGTTGTGGGGATAAGATGGAGGAGGAGATGTAAGCTGCCTTGAGCCCTTTGTAGGAAAAAGGCAGGATATAAATCAAAAAATAAATAAAGAGGGGAATTATGCAAACAGTCTTGAGTTTCTTGGAAAGAAAAAAAGGCAAGAATTAAATACAACAAATAGTGTGATGTCTTTATTAGACCAACCATAAGATAACAAAATATCTGCTTATTCAGTTCTTTTGTCAGTTCAGGGTACTTGGCTGATGAATGGATTCAGAGATCTCAAAAGTTTGCATATTTTCTGTGGCATGTTGATTGGCCAAGTCAAAATTAATATACTAATGTGATTTTGGTGTCTTAGTAAAACAAGGATTGAGTTTGTAGATTCACTGAGACCCTAAATGCTGGGTAGAACTGGAAGAGAGGACAAAGTAGGTACCTTTATACAAAACTGTTGGAGGATTAAAATATGCCTACTTCTCCAACCACACCTGCCATGAAAGAATGCAACATCTGTGTATGTGCACAGACTTCATGTTGCTAAGGTACGGCAGAAAGCAATATGCATGAATGACCTTTAGCAAGATGGGGCTGGGAAGCTAGTTGCTTCTCTTGAAATGGTAGAAAGGAGGTTAATTCTATTCAGAGTTTATACATTTGCAGGATAAGTAGTAATTTGGCCTCTTGGACGGCCTTCCACTGAATTTAATTCTTCCTTTTCTCACCTGTAAAATGTGGTGCAGCAGATGTGCATTATTATACTTGTCATGAAGCCATGCTTTTTAAAGAGGAGAGAATGGTAATATTTTCTCCAGATTCATTGTCTCTTGGCTGACCTTTGCCAGGTATTATGCAAAGAGTGTAAAAGAAGAGGGGGGACAGCTGCTGGACTTGCTCAGTTTCAGGAACAATGTTTACTTGTTGTGCTTGAATGACTAGATTTTTTTCTTCACTGATCTTGCTACTTGTAGGAAGGCCCCACCATGGAGGCCCCTCCTGTCACTATGATGCCTGTCACTGGCGGTACGATTAACATGATGGAATATTTACTTCAAGGTAAGTCATCGGCAGTGAGGATTAGTATGACTTCCATCATATCTGAGTCATACAATATGACCTTCTACTGGAATATTCCTGGGTTCTTGAGAAATACAGGTGCATGCCTTTAATAGATGTTGTTGTTGTTAGTTGCGAAGTTGTGTCCAACCCATCGCAACCCCATGGACAACACTCCTCCAGGACTTCCTGTCCTCCACCATCCCCCGGAGTCCACCTAAGCTCACACCAACTGCTTCAGTGACTCCATTCAGCCACCTCATCCTCTGCCATCCCCTTCTTCTTTTGCCATCTATCGTTCCCAGCATTAGGCTCTTCTCCAGGGAGTCCTTCTTTCTCATTAGATGACCAAAGTATTTGAGTTTCATCTTCAGGATCTGGCCTTGTAAAGAGCAGCCAGGGTTGATCTCCTCTAGGACTGACAGGTTTGATGGCTTTGCTGTCCAAGGGACTCGCAGGAGTCTCCGTCAGCACCACAATTCAAAGGCCTCAATTCTTCACCGCTTAGCCTTCCTTATGGTCCAGTTTTCACAGCCATACATTGTAACTGGGAAAACCATAGCCTTGACTATACGCACTTTTGTTGGCAGGGTGATGTCTCTGCTTTTTAGTATGCTGTCTAGATTTGCCATGGCTTTCCTCCCCAGGAGCAAGCGTCTTTTAATTTCTTGGCTGCAGTCCCCATCTGTGGTGGTCTTGGAGCCCAGGAAAATAAAATCTGTCACTGCCTCCATTTCTTCCCCATCTATTTGCCAAGAAGTGAGAGGACTGGATGCCATGATCTTAGTTTCCTTAATGTTGAGTTTCAACCCAACTTTTGCGCTCTCCTCCTTCACCCGCATCAAGAGGCTCTTTAGTTCCTCTTCACTTTCTGCCATGAGAGTGGTATCATCTGCAAATCTGAGGTTGTTGATATTTCTCCCAGATGCTTTTTGAATGTCTCTAAGTAAGGGAGTCCACTCAAGCTCACATCGACTGCTTCAGTGACTCCATCAAGCCACCTCATCCTCTGCGGTGCCCTCCTTCTTTTGCCATCAGTAGTTCCCAGCATTAGGCTCTTCTCCAGGGAGTCCCTCCTTCTCATTAGGTGGTCAAAGTATTTGCGTTTCATCTTCAGGGTCTGGCCTTCCAAAGAGTAGTCAGGGTTGAATCTAAAAAAGAGGGCACTTCTAGGGCTCTTTCACACATTTCACAGTAGCGATCTCCAGGTTTGTCACAAGGATGTGGCAACAACAAATTGATCCTCTCTCTTTGAGTGTGTTTGGTGCAGTAGCAGTATCAGCAAACATCTGCTTCACATCCACATCTTTGTTTGGGAGACATACTTAAAAATACAATGTGCAAAAAGGTCCTGGGTACGAGGCACAACTTGTAGCGGTATCTTTTCTGGAGATCATTGTGGTCCTTTGTTCTCTGCACTGAAAGCCTTTTTGCAGTTTGCAGCACTTACTTGATTCATAACTTACACAAGACAAAAGGCTGGTTATGATGCTTGACAGTAATAAATCAACAGATGGACACAATTAGAGAAACAGACACATTAAACTTAGGGTCTCAGTTTCCCACGGTTTTCTTGAGGTTGATAGTGTGTTACTGGCCTGTTAGGGTAGGAAGATGCTTTTGCAGGTGTCAGTGAGGGTGGTCACCTGTTCACTCATGTAACTCATCTTGCCTTCCTGTCCAGGTAGTATTTTGGACCAGAGTCTGGAGAGCCTTCTTCATAGACTCCGTGGCTTGTGCGACAACATAGAACCTGAGACCTTTCTGGACCATGAGATGGTGTTTCTCCTGAAGGGCCAGCAGGCCAGCCCATTTGTCCTTCGCATACGACGTTCCATGGACAAGCCTGGCACTCCTTTGCACTTACGGTATCTTGGGCAGCCAGAAATGGGAGACAAAAACCGTCATGCCTTGGTTCGCAACTGTGTTGATATTGCTACCTCTGAGAACCTGACAGACTTTCTGGTAGAGATGGGCTTCCGCATGGACCATGAGTTTGTGGCCAAGGGGCATGTATTCCGCAAGGGCATTATGAAGATTGTGGTATACAAGGTCTACCGCATCCTGATGCCAGGAAATACTGATAACATTGAGCCGTTGTCTCTCTCCTACCTTGTGGAGCTCAGCATTGTAGCACCAGCGGGACAGGACATGGTTTCTGATGACATGAGGAGTTTTGCTGAGCAACTGAAGCCTTTAGTTCACTTAGAGAAAATTGATCCCAAAAGACTTGTGTAAGTGAGATGGCCTGCAGCTACGGCTGAATCCTTTGTCTTTCAGAGATGGAGGACATCAGACATTTTGACCAATACAGATAGGTTGATCTGGTTTTTACCTCCTTAAATAAACCCAAATTGGGGTAAGCTGCTTGGTCTTGCATTAATTCACAAAATAAGCGTGTTTTAGTGATTCCCAATAAAGAGGTGGCTATTCCTGTTGGTTCTGTTTTACTGAATTCTGGCGGTAGCTCATCTAGTTGGCAGATGGTTTTCAACAGCTCAGCTTAGCAGTGAAAGGCCATTAGATGCTGTCTAGACAAGCATAGGATTCATTGGAGTCCTGGCTCTTACCTTGGAAATGAGTTCCAAGGATGGGGCTGGGACTCTGGCCATGAAGTGTCCTTCCTCTGCCCTTGCAATTGGTGTAGTTCTCTCTGTGCTGGCTGTGACTTCTTTGGTGTCCTCTTTGACATCTCTGTTTCTTTGAGGAAAGGGCAGGAATGGAGACTTCAGCAGGAAATGCAGAATCCCAGCAGTGCCTCGGCTGGTTGGCTGGGAGCTGTAGGCTTTTCTCCTACTTAAACCTACATTGGGTTGCACCCTTAATATAGACTTGCAGTAAGAGGGAAAGGTCTATGAAGTGGGATCAAAGGGAAGGAAATCCACTGAAGTGGTTCATTCTTTGTGTGTTTGGGGAATGAAGAAGAAATATTACCTCCTTGATGCTCCCTTGGAGTGTCATCGGTTTAGATGTGTTTTATCCTCTCCTACTTAAATCTATAAAAACAGAATGAGAAACAGTAAGAGAGTGATCTGAAGACAACATATTAGCATGTCTAATACCAGTGAACACAGTCAGAGATAATTGTGGTTGAAAACATCTGGAAGGCACCATGTTGCATACCCTTGTATCAGCCTGAATGCGAGAGATGAATCATTCAAGAGTCAATGTCATTGGTCATTGATGGTTTTATGGTTTTAAGCTATAATAGGAATCATTACCTGCTCCCCAGTGCATTTATTTAGGAAGCAGAGTGGCCCAGAGTGACACCTGGCCAGTAAGGCACAGCAGAGGTAGCAGCTTCCTCCAGGTAATGAACAACACACACCACATTCCGATACTCCTACCTTTTCACAGGAGAACTGTGGAAATCTTTACACTTTCACCCTGCTGCATGTTGTTATGGGATGAGTCGTGATATCATGTCTTGAGGTGCTGCAAGTGTTGGTACAGAGGAACTTTAATGACAAATGACTCAAGCCAAGCTTCTTCCAGGTGCGCTTACAATCCAGCATGGCTAGTTGTGCACTTCAGGACTTCATAGGAACAGAATGTAAATTTGCCCGCAGCATCCTTTGTACCACGACGGGATTACGTTGCTCTCTTCTTATGTCACTGGCATGAGACTCACCCTCTCAGCTGGTTATTTCAGCACCATCTATTGTTGTTCCGCTAAATAGCTTCCATTGTTTTGATACTCATAAAATACTCACGTAATTGTAGTTAAGTGGGTGGTAAACAGTTAATGAAGTTGTGCCAAAAATAGCCCCACCTGTCTTCTAACTGTTAGCAAGTATTTCAAGCCTGGATGCAGATTCTAGTACCTGTCCATATGATAAAGCAGGGTGGCTGGCCTGTGGCCCATGGATGGCAGGTACCTTGGAAGACAAAAGCCTGAGAAATTACAAATGTATTCACTTTGTGCCAGGTGTTCACAAAGAGGTAGATGCCAAGCATGTTTTTCTGGAGAGAGCATTCTGAAGATGAGGACAATTCTTGAGGAAGCCCTTTCCCCAGTACTCAGCTCAGACATGGAAGCGGAACACAGAGAAGGGTCCAGATAGGTGACTTGACAGCAATCCATCTGTATACCACAACCATCGTCCAAGTGCCTCTTCTGAAGGAGGCTCAGAAAGTAGCAAGAAAGGGCAGGGCATTCTCAGTGGTGACTCCTGATTAAAATGCTGTTCTCACTGAGGCCTCCCTGAAACCAACATTTTCATCTTTTTTGTGCCAGAGTAAGACTTTGCTCTGTTCCCATTCATCTGATGATATGTGATGAAGCTTTGAATGTTAGATGCTTTATTTGGGTCCTGGTATTTTGTTTTAACTACTACTTTTTTGCTGGTTTTTGTTAAAAAAAATTAATTTCAGCATCTGTTGTATGTTGGGATTTAATTTTTGTGAAACACCCAGAGAAATTTTTGCTATTAGACAGAATAGAAAGTCGATGAGGAGATGAATCATGTCCAAGAATCTGTTGTGTAGAATTAAAATCATAAATCTACACTGAAAATGTTGCTTCAAACATGTAAGAACTTAGGAATACCTTTGCAGAATTGGTTACAAGGATGTCACAAGTGTGCGTTCAGAAATGTTTCTGCATTCCAGTGGCAGGTAAGTTTCGTAACATCAGTGTCCCATTCATGCCTTTTTGCCACCTTCACCATGAGTAGCAATCGTGAGAAGTCAATTATCCAATTCAGCCTGTATTGACCAAGAAGGCCAGGGAATGGGATGAAAAACAACCTCTCGTGACTAAGGCTGTTTCACAAATCTTTCATGACGTTGCAGTTGCAATTCTTTGCCCCTTTAGACAAAGCAATTATGATTACACGGTGGTTGTTTTGTAAGTTGGCTATTTAAGGCTTGCCAAAACTGATTTGCATAGAATTAGTGCATGCTAATGTGTGTATATAGCAAGGCAAATTTAGATGTCTTTGTAATGTGAACAGAAATGCACACAGCAGTGTGGCAAACTGATTAAGCAACCTGTGTGGTGATGCCTGGGCGCAACAGTTCTGCTGTGATTTGGACAGGCATCCCTTCAAACAGAGGACTGTCCTCTGAGAATGAGGAAATACGGCCACCCTAGCTCATGAATCACTTGTGGGAGCAGAGCTCAGTCATCTCAATCTTGTGTGCAGTCCCAGACCTGCTATCCAGCACTGTGCCAGGCTCTTGCCAAGTTCTTGCACTCCTACTTTAAACACCCAAGAACCGTGATGGGTTTTGTGAATGGGTTTGAGATCATGCTATGGGCTTAATATGAGCTGCTTCTGTCAGTAACCTAATACTTGTGAAGACACCCGGGCAAACAAATGCACCCTTCCTCAACTTTACCCAATGGGAGGACCTAGTTTGACACGTCTCGGCCCTTACAAAGTGAAAAACAAAATCAGAAGACAAAATCTCTCTTTGTAGCTACATTGCTCCATCAAAATGCCTCGAGCTTAATCTCACTTCTTGCCCATCCCCGTGTTCTGTTTCCATTGTTTGGTAGTTCTGTCGCAACCTCTTGCTCTTTAAATAACTTGAGTGCTTTCTTAAAACTGGGCTAAGCTGATGCTTAATACTACAACCTGGCAATAAAACCAGTTCCTATTATCTCCAGCCAGCAAGCCTATGCTGGGGCTGGTGGGAATAGCAGCCCAACACACTGGGAGAGCATCAGCTTGCCGGGGGAGGGGGGGTCTACACAATATTGCAGTACAACGGGTGCTGGCAAGCAGGTCAGCCCTGGTGTGTGTGTGTATGTGTGTGTGTGTAACTGGGGGGAGGGGAAGCTGGGTGATTTATATTGGCTCATATAGCTCAGATCTCAAATTTGCCCTGGCTCAGGTAAGCATGTTTTTCTGGCCCTGCTACCTGAGATCTGGCTTAACTGGAGATGCCAGAGACAGCCTGGCCCCAGCTGAGAGCCACAGTTTTACGGTAAGGCAGCCCGTTGGGACGGGGGGGGGGGTTAAAGGAAAACAGATGGAACATAAATACCGCTTGCCTAATTGTGCTTTATTTTTGTGGTGGTTGGGACGGCATTGGGGGGGGGGGGGGTAATCCTGCCTGCAAATTCTTCATTACAAGCAAGGTCATGTAAAAGGTCCCGGGTTCTGTCTGTCTCTGGCATCTCCAGGGGAGGCTGAAAAATTGCTGCTGCGAGTCGGTGCCATCAGTCCTGAGCCACAGGGATGGGTGTGACTTCATGTAAGGCAGCCTCTCAGGCAGAGGGTTTGCCGATCTCTCCAGGGAGGGGCCGTGGCTTTGGAAGGAGAGAAGCTTCTCTGTGCACAGAAGGCCTTACAGTTGCTCCCCGGCTAGGAAGGATGCCTTCCTGAAGCCTGGGAGAGCCCTGCAGGGTAGATAACCTTCCCCAGACATGTGCCTCCAATCCATCAGTGGCTTTCTGCGGGAGATTTCCTGCTGGTCTTGTGGGAGTGGGCATCCAACTCACCGCATATCAGCATAGGGGCTGGCTGTGCTCCACCACCTCTTCCTCAGTTGACATGTTCCTGGGGGGGGGGGGAGTGCGCTGGTGCCACCGGGGAGGCCAGAGAGGGGAACGATGGCTCAGCGGGAGCCACACTGTGCTAATGTTAGTATTTTGTTCTTTTGCTGGCATTTTTTGTTGCCCTGTTTCTGGTTGTTTTGCAGAATTTTCATCGTTTTGGTACTGTGGAAACTAATACTTGGAGTACTGTATTATGTGCATGGTGCTTTTTGTTTCTCCTTCAGTGGGCCCTGAGGTGGTTTTCCTGTTTTTACCGGTCCCCAGCTGTGGAAAGGTTGAAAACCACCGCTTTAGCCGTATTAGACTATGATCCCATCATCCACAGCCAGCACTGGCCGTGGCTGGTCAGGAGCAATGGGTGTTGTAGTCCAATGCATCTGGTGGGCCCCTGATTGAGGCAGTCCAGTGTAGACACTGCTGAGCACTTGGTGGGTGTCCCATGGGGAGCTGGCTGTGCGTACACAGGGGCCAGTCCTGGACTAGACGGTCCCTTGCCCTGACCGGCAGGGCTCTTCTTACGTTCTTGCGTACCAGGTGAAGCAATGGCCTGCCCGGTGGACAGCAGCTTCTAGGCTCCCATGACCTTATGCATCCAAAGCATGTTACCTGACAAAAACCCTTATAGAAGTAGGAGAAGAGAGATGTCAGGAAGAGCACCTCATTTCTGTAAGTCTGAGAACCAGTTTTTGAGGGTATGGATAACTTTCCTCAGAAAAAGTTTTCAGACCGGGTGATTGTACATGACAGACAAGGGAGTAACAGATGGCAAATGTAGACTCTGGCTCCATTGCAGTGCCTCTTTCAGTGATCCATTGCTCTGAGTAGACCTTTCACATCCCCTTATGGCAGGGAACCGGTGGTCTTCCAGAGGTGTTGCTCATGGTGCTGCAGGCCCAAATCGCTCACCTTTGTCAGCATTTCTTTCCCAGT